TGCTGAAGGACGCCGGAATATGGAAAGAGTGCAATATAACCATAAAGGGGTTCAAAATCAAAGTCGAGGCCGATGCACGACCTAATAACTCAAGTATTTATCATGTCAAACATCCTTATTTTACAGGATTTGGAGGCGAGAGCAGGCAGGTCCGCCTGTCCATTTATACGGGCTGGAAGTCATGCTGCTCAACCTCTTGACGGGCAGGCAAGAACATCCTCCCAGCCGCCAATTTGCGATCAAGCCGAAGAGGATATTCACTTACCGATTCAAATAGCTACTCCACATTTCGAAGCGCAGAATCCATTGGAGGAGGTCAACCTAGGGGATAAGATAGCCCCTCGGATGACACGGGTCAGCACCTTGTTGGATGTCGAGAAGAAGGAGCAAATGTTTGCTTTGATCCGAGAATTCAAGGATTGTTTCATTTGGGATTACCATGAGATGTTGAGGTTATCAAGGAGCTTAATGGAGCACCGATTACATACTAAAGCTTCATTTCAGCCACACAAACAGCCCCCTAGGCGTTTCAACTAAAAATTGTTGCCGAAAGGAAAGGAAGAGGTCGAAAAACTCCTTAAAGATAATTTTATTCGAACATGCAGGTACCCGTAATGGATTTCCAACATTTTTCCACTGGTGAAGAAGAATGGAAATATTTGGATCTGTATTGACTTCCGGAATCTCAATTTAGCGATGCCGAAGGACGAAAACGTGATGCCCATTGAGAACATGCTCGTAGATTCTACGGATAGATATAAGATCCTTTCTTTTATGGACAACTGCTCCGGCTATAATCAAGGATATTTGGCCGAGGAAGACGCCTATAAAACAGTTTTCCACTGCCACGGAGCAATTGGAATCTTCGAGTGGATGGTATTGCCCTTCGGCCTCAAGAATACCGGAGCGACCTACCAGAGGGCGATGAATGCAATTTTCCACAACCTGATGTGGTCGTGAAGTCCCGAGCATTCAATCACCATATGTTGGATCTTCAGAAGGCTTTTTTGCAGATGAGACAACACGACCTCAAGATGAACCCGGCAAAGTGCCCTCTCGAAGTACAAACAAGAAATTTCTTAGGTCTTTTGGTCCATCAAAAGGGATCAAAGTTGACAAAAATAAGGCCAAGGCTGTCCAGGACCTTGGGCCCCCACGCAATATTAAGGAGTTGGAAAGCTTGATGGGGAAGGTCAATTTCTTGAGAAGATTCATCGCCAATGAGGCTTAGAGAATGAAGGCCTTCTCAGTGTTGTTGCGTGGAAATAAAGACATGTTCGAGTAGGGAGCAGCCCAGAAAGAAGCCCTGGATCAGATTAAGCAGGCGTTAGCATCTCCCCCAGTGTTAATGCCGCCAATCAGTGGAAGGGAGTTGAAGTTGTACGTAGCCACGACAGACGACACGACCGGCTACCTCCTTGCCCAAGATGATGATGAAGGTTAGGAACACGATATTTATTATATTAGTAGGACATTAAATAATGTTGAAATTCTCTATTCGTGCATTGAAAAACTTTTTTTTATCATTATATAATACATGCAAGAAATTAGAGTATCATTTGATGCCGGTTGAAACTAAAGTCATATGCAAAGTCGACCTCCTACGCTATTTATTAAACATGCCAGTCCTCCGAGGCTGTTTAGTTAAATAGGCATTAAAGTTTGCATCATTCTCTTTGACACACCAGCCCCTTAAGGCCATGAAAGGACAAGCCATTGTAGATTTCTTGGCCGAACATTCTAGGATGGTTCAGGCTGTTCCTTTGGACTACGTGGGGTTGGAACCTTGGTTGCTGACTTATGATGGTTCCAGCGCTTCGGGAACAGTCGGATCAGCCGTGGTGATCTCCAGCCCAGAAGGAGAAATATGGTGCTTCGCCAACCAACTTTTGCAAGGTATCACGAATAACCAAGCCGAATATGAGGCGTTGTTATTGGCGTTGCGGTTCTTGGTCGCAAGAGATGTTAAGAATGTCGTTATTCGAGGGGATTCTCAGCTAGTTATCTGAAAGGCCCTCAAAGAATTCAAGTGCAAGGAACAACGACTTCAGGACCTTCTTCGAGAAACCCACAACCTTCTTCAGCAACTCGCGGAGGTAACATTGGAGAACTTACCTCGGGAAACGAATTTAGAAACAAACGATTTGGAGCAATGGGCTTTCGGGTTTAAAAGAAATGGAATACAACCAAAATACAAATGTTTGCAGGCTGACAAGGACCTAGATTGGTAAACCCCGTTGCTGGAAGGTCTAATAGACCCCGGAAAAGGTCGTTTCAAAAGCAGTGTTCCATCAACTTCTAAAATACACTCAAATCGATGGGGAGTTGTATCGACGGAGATGCGATGGAACTTTAGCACGCTACCTGGGTCACGAAGATGCTATGAAGGTCATGGCTGAGGTCCACGAAAGTGTTGGAGGTGCCCATAGGGCTGGACTCGCTATGAAGTGGACAATCCTCTGTTACGGCTATTTTTGGTCACGAATCTCGCAGGATTACGTGGATTATGCTTGAGGATGTCCAGCGTGTCAGCGCCATAGACCACTTCGATGAGTCCCTGTAAAAGAACTTCATTCCATTATCAAACCTTGGTCTTTCCGTGGGTGGGCGATGGACATCATCGACAAGATTCATCCTCTATCTTCCAAATGACATTCTTTCATTCTCGTAGCTATAGACTACTTCACAAAGTGGGCGGAAGCCGTTCCATTGGCCAAGGTACAATATAATCATGTCACATGCTTTATTAAGAATAACATCATTCACAGATTTGGCATTTCAAAGACGATAACCACCTACCAAGGGACTACGTTTATGAGGGCAAAGGTCAGGGCTTTTACAGCCCAATACGGAATCCAATTGCTCCATTCCTTTTCGTACTACCCTCAGGCTAACATGCAAGCCGAGGCGACGAACAAAATTTTGATTTCCATTATCAAGAAAACTCTGGAGGACAACCCGAGGGACTGACATGATACTTTGGAAGAGGTTTTATGGGCATATCGAAATGCCAAATCCTCCGTAATCGAGAGCACTCCTTATAGGATGACCTACGGCCATGACGTTGTGCTTCCGTTGGAGATTACAGTGTCTTCTCTTCAGATCTTGAAGATGGAGCTGCCAATAGGAGAGCAGGACCAGACCTTGCTCTAGGAGCTCGACGCTCTACCCAAAAAGAGATTGCAGACTCTTAAACGCATTTAAAATCAAAAGAGGAAAGCCGAATCGATATTCCGAAAGCGCGTGAGGCCTCAGACCTTCAAGGAAGGTGACATGGTCTAGAAGGCCATCCTCTCGGAAGGCCCCAAAGATGCGAAGTTCGGGAAGTGATCCCTCACACAGGAAAGGCTGTTTATCATATCGGCCAAGTTATCTAACGTCGCATATAGATTGACGGAGCCCGAAGGGGAGGAGCTAAAGACGTTTATTAATGGAAAACATCTTAAAAGATTCTATCCTTCTATTTGGGAGCTGAAAGAAAGACACGAGCAGACTGCGGTTGACCACGACCTTATGGAAGGCAAAAAACTATGGGACAGGCCAAATTAGCAAAAATCGACCTTCCTGAACGCAGATCTTGGATTTTGGCTACCAATGGGTAACCAGAAGGTGGACATAGCATCGGAAAAGAGGATTTTAGAGGTGAAAATGACCTTGGTACGATGCATGATTCAACACAGATGAATTGGCTATGATGGAAAATTTAAAACTCGCGCGCACTAGTCGATCTAATTACGGGAGATTTTACAAAATTATCCATACTACAAATTAAGTTGTGTTTAGATAAATTTTGTGAGGGGCATTTGTACAAACACAAAATTAATTGGACCAGCCCAGTACAAGTGCAACCCAAGCTCCGGGAGGTTCGCGGCCCAACAGAAGGTTCAAATCAGCAAGTTTGCCTCCGGATCCGACCAACCCAGTGATCAAAGCTAGCAAGCAAACAGAGAAGGCATGATTTGAAAAAAAAAAAGTTGGAAAAGTTGGAGAAAATTTGGGGATAAAATCTTATTCAAACAAGATTGAGGGAGATAAAAAATCAAATTGAGAGAACACACGAAATACACATCAATTCAAAATCATCTTTTACAATATTTTTCTCTGCATGTTTTTCTTTAATTTTTTTTTCAAGAACAATATAATTTTTTACATTTTTTTTTCATTAATTTCAATTTTTTTTTTCAGTTTCATTCTTATTTTATTAGTCTTTAACTTTATTTTTTTTTACATTAATTATTCGGATATTGTGAGATAGCCAGGATCTTTTTTTGAGGAGGCCGGAAAATCTTTCGAACAAATCAATTCCGATAGAATTTTCTAATTAAACTGACGATTGTTTACGACAACGCATACTATAATAATAATAATAATAATAATAATAATAATAATAATAATAATTGAATGCCCCGATAATGATAGATGGTCAATTACATTGTGATTCAACACTGATTAAGGTATTGACTTATGCAAGTCGACACCGCACTGATTTAACCCGTTAGTATACTAACATTACGAGAAAATGACTTATTTATAGCACTTTATAGTTTGCAACAATAATTTTATAGCAAAAGATAATTATTTATTAATGATAAATACAATTATGACGAAACATCTAAATATATTTGTTAGGCATGTCGATCCATAACAAAGAATATATAATATATTTATAAATAAAATATGAAAATTCTAAATAAATAAAAATTAAAAAACTAAAAAATATATTTTTAAGAAATTGTAAAAGTGTGATACACAGCTTTCACAAATTAGACATACACAAAGGGTGTGTTTGTTTGCGGGTTAGATTTTGAGTTGAAATTTGAATAGTAAAAATTTTGAATTGGAATAGTTATATGATGTAATATAAACAGCATTTGATGCGATGTTTTGAATATAAAATTGATTTTTATATTATAATATAAAAATAAAAAATAAAAATTTAATTTTATATGTTTTTGAAAAAGAATTCGATGAATAGTAGATTCGGGCGGAAATCCCCCTAACAAACACAACGAAGAATTCGTTAGTCTGAACTTTTATACAAATTAAAAGCAATTCGATTATCCTTTCTCCCTCCAAATCGATTTCCATCCCTGGTGAACCCTAATCGAGCAATTGCTCAGCTGTCGGCCGCAGTTCCGCCAGCGATGGCCGGCCATCGTGGTCCGGAGTATAATCCTAGGCTCAGCCCTGTGTTTTTTTAGTATTCCACTGTGTGGCCTCCGTTCGGTCTCTCCCTAGGTGTAGAGTAGGTGTAGAGTGATTCACGTCTTGGCTGCTTGTATATGCAGCGTTTGTTTTCCGTCTGACCATCGTTGGCCGGCGCCGGAGCCGGCGTATTGTGCGCAAGTTTTCTGCTTTCCCTTTCTCCTGCATTGTGGAAGGCAAGGATGGGAGCTCAGCAGAACGACAATGGTGGCAATAGGGATGAAGAGGTAAAAGATGGGACTGTTTGGAGAGGTTTGGTTTTTGCAGTTACTCACCATATACCGGTTGTTCATGGATGCTGGATTTGATGTAAATGAGCTTTTACTGATTGTGTGGTTTTGAGTGCTAAGTACAGGCAAGCCGTCGAATTGTGCCGAATTCTTGGTTTAGAGGATAAGGTTTCTGGTGAGTTTGAAGCTCTTTGTTTTGTTATAACTGAGTTTATATGCTATAGTGTTATTGCATTTTAGTAGATTTCGTAGGTTGTATTGTAGTTAGCTTGTTATTATCAGCCAATTGCAATGTGGTAGGGAAGTTCATTTTGTGTTTCTTACTTTATTGATCGATCTATCTCGATATGTTTGGCACTTATTATGATGCACTTTTATATGCATCTCTGCTGAAAGTTGGGTATGAGCAACTGTATATGTTGTTTCAAACAGATATTATATACGAAAGCTTATTAGTAAGCACCAACAACTTATATCTCTCAAATTTATTTTTGAGTTCGGACTAACTGATGAGTACCCCCTGGTGCCTTTACCGAAAGCCTTCGTGATGGAATCGTGTAAAAGTGTTCATGCAGTTCATAAGGTTGGAGAGAGTTCTAGCCAATCATTGGTACTATTTTGTATGTTCATTATTTTGCAGACCTCACATCCTTTGATATTCATGAATTTTTTTATACTTAACATTAAAATTGTGGTGCTTTATCCTTTTGAATGTGTTCATGCCATTTGAGTGCTCCTTGGATAGGGAAAGTAGGATAATGTATTCTTAATTTCACGGAAAATAAACACGAAGTTAGTGAAATATTTTTAGTTAATTTTGTTTAATATAACAAGAAGACACTACTTTCCAGTACAATAATTAGACACACTTATCTTAGGCTCAAATTTCTTTGTTTTAGATTTTCAATAATTCTCTTCATATTCTAGTAATGAGTTGGCATAACCTTTATAAATGAGCCTCTGACTTTAGATTAGTCTCAGTTCGAATACTTTTTTGACACTTGCCAGCTCAATGCATTCATCGTCTACATTGAGTTATTGCATAATCTCTTGATTATGATATCATCTTGAGAAACTCTTATGGTACAGCCAACCACATATTTCAATTACTTTAGGTAAATTATATAGATGATAATCAATTCTTTTACTTCAAGGGCTTTTGGAAATGTTTGAATTTATTAAAATATTGTTAAAATCATGGCTAAAAAAATACTAGAGACTCACTTTGCTTATGTTTACCTATAGAATGCACAATTAACAGAAATAAAATTCAGGATGGTTCTTTTTTAACACAAGGGTTATTATTCATTGAAATTGTTGCCGAATATTTCGATATGTTATTTTCTCTGAATTTTTGTGCATTCTAAAAGGTATATACAGTAAGTATTTATTTACGCATATTGAATAAAAACAAACCTGTATTGAATGGTTTCTTTGCTCCTTTTAAGACATTTCATTTTCTTAAGGATGTATTCTCTTGCATGTCATCTTTTAGACACAAACACGGATACTACGGGACTATACTATATCAATAATACATTGTTATACTTTTTTTGTAAGACCGATATCTTGAAATTATAGAAGTTATATTAAAAGCATTTATTTTGTACTAAAATCAAGGACACAAAGATTCAAGTTTATAAAAATTTGGTAACACACCATGTTAGAGTTCTTCCTCACATATATCCCTAATATTTATCATATTGTCACTCAATGTGTTTTTTTTATAGAATTAGGCTATATATGAGTTAAACCATCTGACAATCTATTGTATATATATTATTTTTCTACACATGAAAACTAAGAGCAGCATGAATCAGATGTCCAGTGCCACTACTGTTGAGGCTGCACGTTTTGGTCATGGAATTTATAGGTACTTATGTTTGCTTGTTTGCTACAATTATATTTATTATTTGTGTCCTTTTTAGGCTGTTAAATTATAGTGTCTGCTTTTTATCCAAAAACAATTCTGAACGTAATTTTGAATTCCAAAATCTGCACAAATAAATATTCGGGTAGTTATTGAGCATGTTAATAATCATTTGGTATGCTTTGTCTGTATTGTATAATGTCAACCTTACAATGAATGAACACCTGCTTGCTCACCTTAATTTTGGCCTTATCATATTTGAGGTGGTCTGGATATATATATATATATAGATATATATATATATAGATATATATATATTATGATTGCTATTCAAATGATAATTATTATTAAATATCGGGAAAATTTTGTTTGTGTTCTTAAGTTAGTCAAGGAGATGTAGAAACCCAAGAAATAATAATGCTTAGTTGTAACTATTTAAAAGTTACTTCTAAAGTGCGAGTCAAGTTAAATGGCTGTGGATTTTGTGATATGAGAGCTTTCTGCATCTGGAATAAAGTTCTTATTTAATTTTTCTTAGGCAAGTCAGGTTGGGATGCTTCTAGACTCAAAGATGCTAGCTTATCCCTGTATAAGTTGCGCGAATGTTATGCAGAGGTGAGTTTGGATGTTTATGTTACATTCTTGGGTCATTAGAAAGTATTATGTTTGGTAATTATTACTCAATCTATTATTAATCAAACCCAAACAATGGGAGTCCTTTTACGCACAAATTTTGTGAATAGCTTATGTTTTCATTAACTGGTTGCTTGAGATGGCGCAATGCTTGTCATTTCCATGGCTAAATGTGCTCGGTTTAAATAGTTTTCTTCAAAGGCTTAAGGAATATATAATCTTTAAGTTTCTTTAAACAATATATGGAAAGGTTTAACGTGTTTTTTTTTTTTTTATTTTATTTATTTATTTTTTTTATATAAGATATGAGAAATTGTATTTTGATAATATAAAAAATAATATTTTGTATTGAATTGTTGATTTTTTGTAGGAAAATAGAGTATATATTTTTTATATTACGTGGATGTGTGTATATCTTGTATCTTTTGTGAATATTTATCGGAAATTGTGTCAAAACATTTGTTGGGTGAACAAACTCATACAGTCTTCAAGCTTCTTTAAACAATAAATGGAAAAGTCTGATAGTGTAAATTTCTTGTGCCGGGTAATTATGGCAATGCGGACGTTGCATCAAAAGTGCAAGCTAGTGCATGGCTACCTCAGTGAGTATAACATACTTTATTTTGAGGTGCGCTTTTATTCTCTTTTGTTTTAATAATGGCGTTCTGAGCATAGTTAGAGACTTCCTGTTTTGTATGCAGGGTCACCTTTACATAATTGTTGTTTCACAAGCAGTTGATCTTGACCATTCTCAGGTAGTTGCCTTCCTTCGAGAAGATAAAGTAGTAATTCTTTTTAAGTAACTGTTCACAACTACTACTTTATCTATTGGTTATTTAGTGTGAAAGGACCCTAAATTATGTTTATTATCTTCATGTTCTCTCATGATTTCCACAGATTCAACAAATGATTTTGACAAGAGGTGATGTAATCTTTGTTGAGGAAGAAATCGAGGACCTGGGTTTGTGCAAGTATGTAAGCAACAAAATAAGTGATTTCAATAGACCACAATCTCTCTTTTCAGCAGTAGTATGGCATTGCTTGCATTCAAATATAATTTGTATTGTAATAATTGGCAAGAAGATGATCGAATATTAGTGCCACAGAAATTTTTTTCTTAACAAACAAGTAAAGTTTTGTTCATTTCACTTGGTTTATCGTTCAGAAGACCTTGGATGATGTGAGGAATGCTGAGGAGGATGTGCAACATATCATCAGTGAAGATGACACTAATGACATGTACTATCAAACGGTAATAGGCCTTAAGAAGGTTCTTTCTTTGAGCAATCCATCCGAGGCACAGGAGCAGGAGCAGCAACAGTAGCTGGAATGTAACAAAAAGGTTGCGAAAGATGAGCTCACAAACTCTCATGGCTTAGTTGAGGAAGAATTTGAAACAACTAGTAATGAAAGTAATCAAGATACTAATGACTCCGATTGCGATTCATCTGCTGAAAATGTTAAGTAGACAGCAACGGACAGGAAAGCAGCCAGGAAAGTGAACAAGAAGAAAAAGAAAGGCTCGGAAGAATAAAGTTCCGAAAGCTATAAATACTAAGAAAAAGAAGCTAGCTAAAGCCAAGGAGTACCGGAGAGAAAAGCTACATCCTAACACCTGTAACATAGAAAGAAATTCTATGTTTTTCTAGCTTGCAAGAATATGTTTTTTGTTATTGCACGCTTCAAATCTAGGATAAAAGTACTACATCCTTCTAACAAGCTTATGTGACTTAATTATTAGAGAATGCAGACAATTCTAATGTTTCAATACCAATAGAAAATTCTATTTTTCTCTCAGCCAGTGCAAATAATCTTCTTTCTCATATTTTTACATGATACCACCCTTCTTCTACACAAAATAGAGTTATTTATTCAAATGCCTTAACTGCAAAAACTTAAAAAATAGAGTTACCCTGTTTCAAATGCCTTAACCGCGTATTAAAAAAAATAGAAAAAACACATGAAAACTTTTCACTCAGGTATTTTTTGTTGAATGCTTCCAAAGTCTAGCCTGTAGTAGTTCCTAAATAAGTTAATTATCATGTCATCTTGTTCGATCTGATAACATCACACAATGCCAAAGTGTCATACTTAACAAGTTGGGAGAATGCAAGAAAGGATGATGTTGAATTGATTGATTTTCTCTAACAATTTAAAATATTTTAAAAACTTTGGTTGTATCTTGTTCAAGTTGATAGTTTGTTGATACGAAAGTAACTTTTCACATAATAACTGATATCCATGATTCCAAGGGTATTTACTATGGGCATGCAGTTGCTCAAGTGGTTGATATTGCTAAAGAATCGGTACCCTATCTGGAATCAAAGCTTTATTTTCACTTTCCCAATTGTAGGTATGATAGTTGAGCATTATGATTGAATTTTGGTGATGGTTCGAACTACAGGTTGAGAAGCTCCGCCAGTATTTTATATAAATGTAACCATAGGATGAACAAGTTGGGAGAATTCAATTATACATTAACTATTCAACAATGGGTGAAAGTAAACACGAGGTACATAAGCTTTTGTATTACACATGAATACTAATTGATGTTATTCACATGTGAGGGGTGGTCTTAATCTTTTTTTTTTGGAATATTATGATAAGTTTATTTAGCTAAATTCTAGAAAAGTTTGTTGTATAAGTTAATTGATAGTTCAAGATATGTTTACTGTATCCTTTTCTTTTTTGATAAGAGAGCTTAAAATTTAACATGGGCTTCTCATTTTTGGAGCCACCATTGTGTAGGTTATATTAAGTTTTAGGAAATGTGTCCAGCATTCAATTGAGTTTGGGGGATATATTGTTATTTAATATAATTGATTAGCTTCCTGTTTAATCCAAATGAATCTATGGCTACTTGATATATGTGTACTTACTTGTTTTTAGTATATATTAAGACATAATTTGATTATATAGTAAAAACAACAAAACAACTACGTAAGAAAAAGGAAAAATTGTCTATAACTCTCTTGTAGTTTTGAAATTCAATGTAAATTTTTCATTGACTTTAAAAATTGCATTGCCCTCCTTTATACTTTAAAAACGTTGCATGAAACCCCATTGCAGTTTCGACTCTCATCGGAAATACCCAGTTTTACTTTAAGAATTGCATGACGCCTCTTGATACTTAAAAAATATTTCATGAAACCCCCCACCATGCAAAATATATAGATATGAAATCATTTTCTCATTACACAAGATAAGTTTCATGACGGTGGGGTATCATGCAACATTTTTTAAAGTATAACAGAGTGCTATGCAATTTTTAAAGTATGGAAGTTATAAGCAATTTTACCTAAGAAAAATTAGAAAGTTTCCTACACTTATGAGTTATTTTTTTATGACGTGAGAACCCGCAACCGCTATCTGAAAGTGCGCACTGGGTAGTGTAGTTTTAGTTTGCAATGTATTGTTGTAATTTAGATTAAAATGGATATTTGCATGGATTTTAGTTGTTAGAAAATGAAATCTAAATGTTAACTGATGTAGCCCGTTTTGATATAATTTAAAGTTTGTTTTTGTGCAGTTAAAAAAAGTTGTACATAGTATGAAAAAATATTTGCATTCATATTAGCATTGGATATATATTTATAAAAGATTAAAGACTTTGATGACAGAAGACATTTAAGATGCAACTATCAATTCAAATTGCTTTCGTGCTAAAATTGAGGTTTATATTACACTAACGGAAACTATTTTTGGCCAATTATATATTTAGCATGAAGTTGTCTTCAATTTGACTTTTGGAGCTGCAAAATATTAGCTTCATTCTAACTAATTATTAAATTATGATATTTTTTGTTTAGTAAAATGTGATTGTGCTAATAATAATATTCTTCATCTTGAAATAGACAATGCAATGCAAGACAATCATCTATAATAATGGACAAAAAAGATAAACAACATACCGGCTATTCCAATGTTAAAAAATGTCTATTAATTGTTCAAATACTTACTTCACATGATAGGATAACGTATGATCTTGTTTTGGTATGTTTTAGAAATATTTTATTGCTTGGGAGTTTTTGTTACCGTTAAGAAATTATTTTTGGGCTTGGCCTGTTTGGATATTAGAAAAAATTCATATTACGTTGTAAGAGCTATAATTACTCAAGTTTAAGGTTGGTTATAGTTATTGGACAGTGCGATGTTATATTTTGGTTTATATGTTGTTATATGTTCATTTCGTAGATGGTCCGGACAACAGTTTATGGAGTTATAGTATGTAGCTGGTGCGCACATATTTTCCGCGAGGCAATCCACGTTGATCCGATCGAGTGACATATAAGGATATGTAATTTTTCTTTTAAGCTATATTTTCTTTAGATCTAATTTAATTCATTTAGAAATTAAATTCTTATTTAAGTTTGCATCTCACTGCTGCTGCTTCACCGTCTTCGAGTGCCTCATCGTAGATTGCAGCAGTCACGACCATGTCTCTTTATTAGTTTGTCTTTACTTGAATTGATAACATATTATCAATTAATATTGCATTAATACATTTGTATATTTTTCTATCTTTCTAATGTTGGATATTTTGGATATGTGGTGCTCATTTGGCATGGTTGTCGTGGGAGCAACATTGTATTTATATTTTTTGTGTCGGAAAACGTCATTGGATTGATGTTATTTTGCATGTTTCATTATGATGTTTTTATTTGATATAAAAACAGGTATCATACTATTTGAGATAAAATTTATTTGGTAGCAAATACTATTAATATTGTCATTTATTTGGGCTTTGTAACAAAAAATTTTGTTACAATCAGTAGGAATTTATAGTGGTTTTGTTACATTCTTTTTTTGTAACAAATACTTATTATAATGAGTTTTAAGTATTTACAACGGTCCTTTTGTTACGGAAAATTTCATAACACAATGTTATTTTCACGACCAAAGAGAATTCATATTGGTTTTTTTGTTACGGATATTTTCGTTACAGAAAATTATTTGAATGGTTACTTCCCCATGCATTTTAGAGAGAGTCAGTTACTCGATTTCTTGTAACGGTCAAACTCTGTTACAAAGCCGACACAAAAGATTTATTGTGTTGAAAAAAATGAGCATTTATAATAATCTTCTGCAAATGACCATATTTCTAATAGTATAAATTTGACCATTTATAAATATGTATTAGTCTCGGACAAGAATAAAGGAGCATGGACATACCTGTGCGAAATCACTTCTAGCGCCTCCTTGTCTCTTACCTCAAAAGCATCATGCACTTCAAAGTCAATAACATCTAACGAGAAAATCAAGAGAGAATCTGGGGGATGTTCAATAGCATCAATTTTGAATTCTATTTTTTTTTCCCATCAAATTTCGTCGTCAAAATACCATGCTTAACATCAATCTTAGTATCCGCCGTAGACATAAAAGGTCTCCCAGAGAGTAGTGGTGATGGGTTGGGTGATTGTTCATCATGCATTTCTAAGACATAGAAATCGACTAGGAAAATCAAATCATTAACTTGGACAAGGACATCGTCTATAATACCTTCAGGATATGCATGTGTCCTATTAGCAACTTGAATTTTCTTTAGTAGTGCAAGATTCAAACAATTATATATTGATTTCGGCATGACATTAATTGCTGCGCCTAAATCTAACATAGCACGTTTGACTTTTAATTGTCCTATTTTACATAGGATAGTGAACATATCCGGATCTCTGCACTTTGGTGGAATCTTTCTTTGAAGTAGTGCCGAGACATTCTCACTTGCAATGATACTTCCGTCGCCCTTCAACTTCCGCTTATTGGTACATAACTCCTTTAAGAACTTTGCGTACTTTTGAATTTGGTGGATTGCGTATAGGGGTATATTGAGCTCGAAATTTCGAAAAATCTCCAAAATCTCATTCTTCTTTTTCGGATTTTTCGGCTTTGCCAACCTGGATGGAAAAGAGGCAAGATTAGTATTTAATTTAGTGACAGTTTCATCAATTACCTTATTTTTCTTCACATTTTCCTTCTCGATTTCTTTATCAATGGTGCTCTCGTCTTTGTCCTTCGGGATGATTGGTTCGGGAGCCCCCACTATCTTTCTGGTTTGTAAAGTCATGGCACTAATATTTTTTTTTGTGTTCCTTTACGGTTGTGACAACCATTTCCCCATTCCCTTTCCTTGACATGGCAAAGATCCGCCGTCATTTGCTCTATGCGGGTCTCAAGATTTTGAATGTTCACCCTCGTATCTTGTTGGAATTGGATTGTGTTGGCAGCCATGGTCTTCATCTTTTTCTCTAGTGCCATGATAGATTGGTTTGGCGAAGGTGGTGGCGGTGGTGACTGGAAGAATTGTTGCGGAGGTGCTTGCGGTAGGAACCCTTGATGTTGCGGATTTCCATACTTGAGATTCGGATGATTCTTTCACCCCGGATTGTAGGTGTTTGAATAAGAATAATATTGTGGTTGTCTCGGTGGACTAAAACCGGCTACATTCACATCGGCATGACTTCCTTCATGCAAGGCAGGGTATACATCGGTGGCATGCTCCGGGCTCGTGCAAATGCCACACGCTCTCATATGGTGTGTGTTTCCTATAGCCAATTGATGAACAACTTTTGTAAATTCAGAAATTTGTTGTCGACGAGAATCGTTACCTTCCAAATATTCGACTCCTCTAGTTCCGAACTGTTGCGAATTCTCTGTCATCCTCGCAATCAACTCCCATGCGGATTTCGGTGTTTTATCCGCTAATGCACTTTGGCTAGCGGCATCAATATTGTTCCGGTCTTACATGCTTTGTAAAAGTATTGGAGCAACAATTGGTCTGCAATTTGATGTTGCGGGCATCACACACAAAGCTGGTTGAACCTCTTAAGATATTCATGCAGCGTCTCTTATTGTTGTTGCTTGATGCCGCAAATTTCCTTGCGTAATGTCGCTGCCCACAATGCTTGAAAATAATTTTCCAAAAACTTCTTTTTCTTGCCCATCCAGGTGGTAATGCTTTCCACTGGTAGGCAAAGAAGCCATTCCTTCGCCTCATCCTTTAGTGAAAAGGGGAATGTCCGTAGCTTTACTTGCTTTTCCATAACCGTTGGTGGTTTTATGCTCGAGCTAACCACATCGAATTCTTGTGGATGTTTATGTGGTTCCTCTCCTGCAAGGCCATGAAACAAGGGCAAAAAATGTATTAGTCTGGATCGTAATTCAAAACTAGTGTTACCTTCAATTTCCACAAAAGTAATGCATAACCGTTGTAAGTTTAAATTGGGCACGGCCAACTCCCTGAGCGTGTGGTTATCTTCTTCCGCCATATCGGGTTCTCGCTTACTTGATTCGCTCGGTTGCAAACTCGAAGCTTTATGAAATTCCAGCCCTCTTTTTGCTTCTTTCTGCAATGTCTTCGCTAACCCCTTGATTTCCGCTACATTATCAAATTTCATCTGCGAGAAGAGCGGGGCATAAAATATTGAAATATATAATATATAAAGTAAAAAAATATAATTGAATGACAAAACTACGAAATAAATCAAACGTCAGTCCCCGAAAACGGCGCCAAAAATTGGTAACCTTGGTGCTTCCAATAAAAATACTCTAACACTACAACTGTCGCGTAGCAAGTGGTGCCGAGGTCGATCTACAGGGACTGTGAATTTTAATTCATGTTTTGTCACAATTTCAAATATTTGGGGGAATAGATAGCAATTCACTAAGATAATTAAAACAAGCAACTGAAAATTAGATTCCAAAAAAATTAAATTTCTAGCCTGATGAGTGAATAATAAATCAGATTAAAGATTCGATCATCAATTTTCAATAATATTATTATTCAATTGATAAATTTGTTATAGACATTAGATACGATCATAACGCTCAATTTTTTCTTTATTTATTGGCGGAAATGGTACGTCGATTAACTGCATCCCTAATTAAAGAAATAATTCAGGTACGACCATAAATTAATTTTCCCAATTGAAAATATCCCGAGAAAAACCCATTTCAAATATTTAATCAATTACAAAAAAATGAAACTATTTGATCATGCAATTCATAGGCTAAGCTTGTCAACCTATTTACCACATTATCAAACAAGCGCACAATTACGGAGGCAAATGTTCAATTGGCACACAATTGCTAAACCAATCTAAAATTCGTCCACTATAAAAGATTAAATAAAATAATTGTAATTATGAATCACATAATTGCACAAATATCAATTTCATAAACAAGATGCAATTTAAATCTAAATATAATCTCACAAATCCAAATCCGAAATCTAAATTCAACATTGGACTAGAATAAAGAAAACTAGCTACTCATGCTCAAAATAAAAGAAAGCAATAAGATAAGATAATTATGATCTCCCGGTGGCTAATTCTCTTTAATGCCCCGCCTAATCCTTCAAGCAATGAAATGTGAGTGTAAGTTGTGATTCTTATCCAATGTCTTGACCCCCTTTTTATACTCGATCAAGCATTCAATTAGCTCTTTAATCGCTCCCTGATTACTCCTTGATTGCTGCTCATTTTCATCTTTAAACCCAAAATTCATTCAATCGTTGACCCAAAAATTTGGAAAAGTGGCACATCACTTCATCTTGCCACTAATCGAGATTATACTAAAATTACTAGAAATCTTATCCAATATATTAATTATAATTTATAATGTAACTATAAAGTATATGACAATATATGCTTGATCAGTTGTTGCTGCCCATGCAAATGCTTGAGGTCTCATGATGTGAATTACGAACTCATTTGGCAGCAAGTAATGTTGCTAAACTCTCAAAGCTTGCATAACCGCATATAACCGCATATAATTCCTTGTCATATGTCGAGTAATTCACGGCTGCCCCATGAAACTTCTCACTATAGTATGTAATTGGTCGTCCTTCTTGCAACAACACGGCACCTATGCCAACTCCACTAGCATCATACTGAACTTCAAAAGCCCACCCAAAGTTTGGTAATGCCAAAACTGGAGCGTGTCAAGATGTCTCGAAGTTTCTCAAAAGATGTCATATGACTTGTCTCCCACTTAAATGGAACATTCTTCTTCAAAAGGGAGGTTAGCGGGACTACTATCACACTAAAATGTAGGACAACATGCCTAAAGAATCCACACATCCGAACAAATCTCCGAACTTCAGCCACACTTGTGCATTCTTTTTCATTCCCAAATCGCATCAACCTTAAGATCAGCTACATCTACAGCAAAACTAAGAAAAATAATTTTATTAGTGCAGAATATGCATTTCTTTAACGTACCATACAATTTAGCATTTCTTAAAGTATAAATAACTTACCTAACATGTCTATGATGATCCTCCAAACATGTATTATAGACAAGTATGCCATCAAAGTATACCACAACAAACTTTCCAATATATTCTCTTAACACATGGTTCATCAATCGCATGAAAGTGCTGGCCGCATTTGTCAACCCAAATGGCATGACTAGCAACTCGTACAACCTAAACTTGGTTTTAAATTTTGTTTTCCATTCGTCTCCCAACTACATAAGAATTTTAAATTGCGTGCATTTCTCTTGATTTCTTGATCGAATACTAATTTATCTGCACAAGAAGAATGAGGGATAAAGCGGGGAAGATAGTAGAAAGAAATATAAAAAAACACGAAAGAATAAAATCAAACGCAAAATCCCTGGCATCAACGCTAAAAATTGATTGGTCGCATGGTCTATCAAATAATTCTCCTTATCTACAATTACAAAATTAATGTGATAATTGGAAAGGGATCGTCCATGGAAATTTGCGTAATAATAATTTCTTCATGGTTGATGAATCAAAAGTAAGAAATGGGATTTTTGAATTAAAACTAACCTAATTAGAGAAAAAAAATTAAAAAAAAAACTAAAATTCAATAAATTAAAGAATTAAAATGCAATAGACAAAAAAAAAAAAAAACTTATATAATTAGAAGCCTAGTCCAATAAATGATTTCACAATGAGATTTTATTGTTTTAATTAAAAAAAAATTCTTATGGTGATTGATATACTAGTTATAGACATCAATAAGCTCTTAAATCCAATCTTTCTTGTTATGTAGACAATCAATGTACATCCGCTAATTGCTCCTAACTAGGCTAACAATCTTATATAGGACTGTAAAAATTTAATTGCCTAATTGCATTATAATATAGAAAAATCTAATTAGAATTGCTACTACCTGCAAGTAGCCGTTAAAATTCGATTGCTTAATCTACGAGAACCAGTGTGTCATCTATTCAAATAAAATTAGTTACAGGTATCCTATTCGAATTGACATTAAACTATTGAATTAAATAAAATCTCATACAATAAATATATATATATATATAATTCAATCATAATCAATCCTTCAACTAGAAGTGTCTACTCAATTTTCGTGACAATGAAGAAAACAAGTGAAATAGACATAAGGAGTATGAAAAAAGTTTATTGGTGTCGTGGGTTTGATGTCAAATGGACTGTCAAAAGACTCTTGAACCATATTGCATACTTTTGTTCTATGTCTGTTCTTTTTTCACGATTTGGTCGCCCTCTTTCACTCGCCGACTTCCAATTTTGTGATAGAATCTTATATATACATATATATATATATATATATCTTAACTCTTGTGCTTTAAAATAATAATAAGACTGAATTTAGTTTAACTTAACAAATTTTTTTTTTCAATTATCTTTATTTTTCATCAATTTATTCAATTGACTTCTAAATATGTAAATTATCTAAATATGCAAAAAATAATAGAATTTATATCAAATCAACTCAAATAATTCCAAAATATAAAAAAATTTAAGTACAAATCATTCCAGCTATCAATTATACCATAATTACCTAAACAATTAATTTATTAAAATTTTTCTCTCATTTCATTAACTCCTATTCATTTATATATTTTTAAAAAATATTTTTATTATTTTATAATCCATTAATATAATGGAATGAGAGGATATATACTAAAATATTATAATCCTATTTATTTAGGGACACTTGGATTTAAATCCCTCGAATCTATAACACATTTAAATTCAGTCCCTCTTCATTTTCAAAGTACACTGCACTCTCTACTTTTGATTTTCATTCACACTTGACTCTCTAATACCTATTT